CTCGCCCAGCGTTTGCATTCCCGTCCTTCGTCTGCCACGTCTCTACACTGGTCCGGTTACCCGTGTTCGGCAAAGTCGCATGCTGCCGACCTTGCAAGCCGTGCATAGCGGCCGTACTTTATGAACACTGTCAGGAAAGGTCAACGAAAGGCATTAGCCCACGAGAGAGCCGATTAGTCGCTTGCACTTTCACTGCACCTGCAAGCGCGGGTTAGTGGCCTCCCCCGCCGGCGCTGTCATGGACTCGGCCCTCGTGCCGCGCCGCGCCGCTCGGAGCACCACCGTCTTGAAGATCCAGTCGTGGCGCGGCCTCCGAGATGGGTGGGCGGGTGCGACGTTAGACTGATCAGCGGTACGTGGTACGTGGTGTCAGTGGACTGAAACGTTTGGACTGCGAACCAGCCCTTGAAGTCTGCAGTTACCAGCATGGGTAGCGGCGTTGCGACAGTGAGATGCAGCCTGCTGCTGGCGCTACTCTTACTGCTGGCTTCAGGGATCCTTGCTGAAGGTAAGTTCCCACAAACGAGCTGCTGCTCGGAGGCAAGATATCCGAGCGAGTGTCATCTTCTGCAATCATGACCGTGACACTGTCGGACGATTCGCGAGCGTTACGTCCCAGAAGCAGCCCCGGGTGCTGGTTGAATTGTTGCCAATCATTTGACCCGGTCGCTTAAATGGAAACGTCGTAGTATTTCATAACTAACAACAATAGACGCTGTAGTATTTCATTCCGAGCAGACGCCGGTGCATAAACATTAAGACACCACTCCTAGACAGTAATAAATGGCGCGTTGCGTTATGTTGTGGTTCAACGAGACAAGGTTGTTAGAAGACCGCCAGTGTGCGGACACACACTCGGACTCAAAGCCCCCCCCCCCCCCTAGACACCTTCCAGCATTTTTGGACACGAACAAGTGGACCATGAACGGCAGTGGCTCGGGGCGGCTTCGAATACCACCCTCTTAAATCAAAATGAAACACCTGCACGTTTCCAGCGACGAATTTGTTGGTGGTCTTTTGGTGGAAATCGCTAGCATGTCTATGCCAGTTTTCAAGAACATTTTTTGTTTATATTGAATTACAAAACACCTGTCAGGCTACAAACTGCAGCAGACGACTGAGGGAGCACGAAATCTCATGCTTTCAGTAAAAAAATACGTTGACGTTCGGTGTATCAAAATGTATATCTACGTGTTATGCTGCCATTATACTTCCTAGCCTACCCGATAAGCTTGCAATAATTTTTAGGCCTGCCTTCGACCAGACAAAGGCACCTTGTAATAATCTTATCCAAATCGTGCCTCTTGAGTCTTGTAGCTATGCAAATGGTCCCATGTATTATGTATGCAGCTTAACGACCATCGGGAACAGCTCAACGAGCACTTCTGGTTAGATACTGATCATCCACTTTCCGAGACAGCTTAGCACTGAGAAAACAAAGCAGAAAATGTGTGCACTTGGATTGCTGGTCCCAAACAAAACGAAGTTGTATTTTACTGCCACGCAATATTTCTCTCGTCTATGCAGGTGAACGCGAAAACAACATCTGAAAGACTTCGTTAGAAGTAACAGGATAGGTAAACCGGGTAAATGTGGTAGAAAAACAATCATGGGAGTGCACACACTTCATCTAAAATCTGATGTGTTCCTTCCTGTTAAATCATCTCAGGGGAGGCCCATTCCCCTGAATGTAACTAAACATGCGCATGCGTAAGAACCACAGGGCGTCCAGACCACCAGCGCAATCAAAGGACTTTAAACAACGCGATGGACAAGCTCCCGATAAAACCAGGGGAGTGCCGAGGTGGTGACAGATCCAGGCGGCGACCAGAGAGCGATGGACACGTCCAAGAGGTACCTACATGCTGCAAACGATGGAACCGATCCGTAATGCCACGACTGAACATGTATCCCCATCTCCTTGACGTTTCGTTTTACGTCCCTCCTCACTGATTGAAGTACAACAGAAGTTTGCCCACGTACGTTCCCGTGTACTTTGTCATGCTTTCAGAGCTATAAACGTCACCCAACAGCAGCGTGGGAGATCGAGTGAAACTGATCAGTCAGAACAGTCTCCTCTCAGGACAGTCTCCTCTCAGAACAGTCTCCTTTCAGGACAGTGCCCTCTCAGGACAGTCTCCTCTCGGGGCGGTCTCCCTCAAAACAGTCTCCTCTCAGGACAGTCTCCTCTCAGAACGGTCTCCTCGCAGGACAGTCTCCTCTCGGGGCAGTCTCCTCTCGGGGCAGTCTTCCCAGAACAGTCTCCTCTCAGAACGGTATCCTCTCAGGACAGTCTCCTCTCAGAACAGTCTCCTCTCAGCACAGTTTCCTCTCAGAACGGTCTCCTTTAAGGCCAGTCTCCTCTCGGGGCAGTCCCCTTGCTTCCAGCCGTGTGCGATCCGGTTGAGTTCTCCCGACCGCTGATTACATCATTCTCATTACGCCTCTTTACAAGCGCGCTGGTGGTGCGGCCGTTGCCCCGATTGCAGAGGAGGACGAGCGAGTGATGCATATTTAAAGACAGCATTCACCTGGTGCATTAACCCCTCAACCGTAGCCCTCAAGGTGAACAATGTCGCAAGGTGCCATGCCGTTCGGTGCTTCGGTCTCAGGCGAAACATCGGCTCCGCTCTCCTGCAGGGCTGATGGGGTCGGGAAATGGTGGGCGTTGTGCAATACGTTATCATCGTCGAGCATTTGTTGATCGGCTCTAGTTATGGCCGCGCCATTACGACTGGCAAAACCACGGATGGAACCGGAGGCTTCTTATGTAAAACTTAGCCGAAAAGGGATTGAGACTTGCCGGGGCCGACGCTCTCTCTTACTCTGATGAAATAAGTGACAGCCCGGCTGGCCCCGGCTTTGAACCTGCTTCTGAGCCCGGCCGCCTAGTCCTGTCGCGGATTCTGCTTCGGAGCCTGGCCGACCGGCTCTGGCTCCGCGCCGCCACTCGCCCGGCCGGCTGCGGCTTCGGCCGCGCGGCGCGGCCGCCGTCACGCCAGGACTCAATCAGCGCGCGCGACGCCGGCGGCGGTGCTGCTACCGAGCTGGCGCGTCACGTGACCGCTCAGGGCGCGCTGCCGGCCGCGGTCACGGCGGCTGTGTCTTGCCGACGTGTCACGTGACCCGGTGTGAGTGCGGACGTCGTGCCAGGGGAAATCAGCTGCCTACAACACCGAGTGTATGTGCAGTTTCCACGAGGTTGCTCGGCTCTGCGAGTTTGCGAACAAGCCCCTGAAGTGTGCATGTGAACACTTAGTTGTGAGATGAGTGTGAAAGCCGATCAAGTTCGCCGAGGTTTAATTTTCGGTACAGTTTTATGAGGCTGGCTTTAACAAGCTGCCTGGAGCGTAACCATATGACTTAATGAGCCTGAAAGGTTAATGAGTGAGGTTAATGAGCCCAAAGCCTATTTCACTGTGTCCAATCTTCTAAGATTACGTTTTATGCGGGCACAACACAAAAATTACCCGAGCTGCACAAAAGCCGCCGGATTTGTTACCCCGGCGACCCAGGCAGCGGTTACGTCATGCATACAGCGCCGGCCGGCGACTCGACTCAGTCAGCAAAACTGCCGCCGTGCGCCGCGCCCGGGCTCGAGCGCTTCGAGTCGAGTCGAGCCCCGCTCCGAGCACGGCAGCCGGGTGACTCTTGACCTCTCCAGCGGAGCCGAGACGGCCCAGACCGGACGGAGGCCCAGCTGGCCAAGGCCGGCCAGCCGGCGCCGGCGGAGAAGGCCGACCCTGGCCGGCCGGTCACCGCCGCCGGGCCCACAGAGCGGGGCGCGGCGGGGCGTCAGGCGACGCCGGCGAAACGGGCCCGGTGAGTGGGCCGGCGGAGGAGGGAGTGGTCTGCAGGGAGAAGCAGCCCACTCCCTCCACTCCTCGCTCGTCTGGATCTCCTCGCCGAGGCCGCCCGGGGGTGTCGCCCCGCACGTGACGAGCATGTCCAGGAGGCGGCCCAGCAGACTGGCTTTATCTTGTGCGCTAGCGCCATGTGGTCGGCTGCCACATGTCATCCGATGGCCGCCGATGCGGCGCCCAGCCCGTGCCACACTGCGCGATGCAGACAGACTCAGCCCATGGTGCATATACCGCGGCTGATGGCGCGATTCGCGGAGGAGAGTGGAATGCTGACATCATGGATAACGCCTCTGCCGTTGATGTAATGCCCAAGGGAGCGGCGGCGGCCCGCGACCGGATGAATCCGGGGTGAAACGGTTGGCTGTTGTTGCAGCGGTGCGCTGGCCGCTTGCTTCCTTAATCGGCGAGATATACAAACTAGCGGAGTGTCACGGAGTATCAAATCGCATTCTGTTTTTGAGGCTTGTTTGCCCCACCGAATGAGCCTGCCCATGTTTAGTGGCTTGAGGTCGTCCATGCAATCAGGATGAATAGAGTAGAATCAATGCGAAATGTTCTGCCGTCTCAAAACAACACCACAGTAATCTCTGTGAGCCTTTCAGCAACATTCTTGAGTTTCAGGCAAAGAGCCCTATGGGCTAAATCGCTAAATCACCATCAAAATGCGAACGAACGCCTCACATTCCGAGCGGATAAGCCAGCACTGTGCTCAGGGAGCGGCAACCTCTGCTTTGGTGGCGGCACTAATGTCCGCGTAGGCAGGAGCATGATTCCTCTGCTTTCGAAACGTTTTGAAAAGGCGACGGCTCCGAGGGCGGGCACCATGACAGCGCAGAAGCCCGTCAACAAAGCGCGTACACACGGCGTGTGAGTCGTCTGGCGCTCTGGAAGCGGCGTGAGGTCTCGCTCGCGCTGTCATCCCGCGGCGGAGGAGCCCTGTGAGCGTCCTGTATGAACGTGACGCCGGAGCGCCGGCGGCGTGACGACCAACCGGTGCTGAGACGCGGCTCTCTGACGGTAAAGGAAACGAGCCGCGGCTCCTTGACGTTGGAGGAGGCGAGCTGCGGCTCCTTGACGTCGGAGGAGGCGAGCTGCGACGCCCTGACGTCGGAGGAGGCAAGCCGCGGCTCCCTGACGTCAGAGAAGGGGAGCTGCGGCGAGCTGCGGCTCCTTGACGTCGGAGGAGGCGAGCTGCGACGCCCTGACGTCGGAAGAGGCGAGCCGCGGCTCCCTGACGTCGGAGGAGGGAAGCCGCGGCTCCCTGACGTCAGAGAAGGGGAGCTGCGGCTTCTTAACGTCGGAAGAGGCGAACTGCGGCTCCCTGACGTCGGAGGAGGCGAGCCCCGGCTCTCTGACGTCGGAAGAGGCGAACTGCGGCTCCCTGACGTCGGAGGAGGCGAGCCCCGGCTCCCTGACGTCGGAGGAGGCGAGCTGCGGCTCCCTAACGTCAGAGGAGGCGAACTGCGGCTCCCTGACGTCGGAGGAGGCGAGCCCCGGCTCTCTGCCGTCGGAGGAGGTGAGCTGCGGCTCCCCAACGTCAGAGGAGGCGAGCTGCGGCTCCCTGACGTCGGAGGAGGCGAGCTGCGGCTCCCTAACGTCAGAGGAGGCGAGCCGCGGCTCCCTGACGTCGGAGGAGGCGTTGTCTGCGCCGACCAGCCGATGGAGAGGCTGTACGCGAGTGCCGTAGCTCTGTCCTGACACACCGAGCATAGATTGGCGCTGCCCTGTCCCGGCTCCCCGTGCGGCGCCGCGAAACACGGAGCTACGATGAGACGATACCTAACGAACGACGGAGTTCTATCTCGGGTCACCAATGGCAGTGGTCTGTCGTGGTTCCGCGCAGTAAGAGGCGACCATATTTTCCCGACCAACAAAGCCACAGAGATTGGCGAGCTCTGACAAGTCTCACACCGACAACGGCGATGCTCCGTCCGCGTCCGTCCTCCGTTACGCGGAGAGTAACGGAGCTCCGTCACGCTCCGCTCAGGTTGTGACGTCACCCAGGCTCTGCCCGGCGCGCGGCGCGCCTCCGGCGGGACCCCTGCGGTACGCAGCCGACCGGATGTCCAGTGAGCACCTGCCACCGGCCAGTAATCACCCCTCCCCGCCCGGCGGCGGCGGCGGCGGCGGCGGCGGCGGCGGCAGCGGCGGCAGCGTTCTCCGGAGAGCTCGCCGATCCGTCGTCCGTGAGCGTGCCGCGGCCGCGCGTGAGAACGTGAGAACGTCGGTCGGTGTGGCCCCTCGGCTCCCGCGTCGGCTTCCGCTTGCTTTCTCTGGCTGACGCTGTCCTCGGCGGAGCCCCGGTGGCTCTCGCCGGCTGCTGCAGGGGACGGCAGGGTCGTAATCCCACCCCGCGGGCGGTTCCGCGCTGTGTGACGGTCAGGGCCGTCCTACTCTGCTGACGGGGCTCACCCTCTCTGATGTGGCGTCCACGCCCGGACCCGCCCTCTCCCCTGCCTTCCGCCAGAGCCGACCGTGCCGCGGGCGGGGAGAGGGCGGGGAGGCGGCTGCCGAACCTGTCCACGGCGATCCGGTCCAGTGGCTCGCCTCCCGCCTGGTCCGCTCACGAGGCTGGGCAGGTGCAGGGGCGCCGGCCGGCACGGGTGCAGGTCGTTCGATGTACTGGCCGTGGCTCAGCACGTATCAAAAGTGCCGAAGTGAGCCGACATTCCTCGCCGTGAGGTGCATTTTATTGAAGTCGTGCCGTCATCATTGGCATGACGTAACAGCGGTCGTCCGTCACGTGTGATGCACAAAGTTAAGCTTAAGCGCCGTTAGCAGGGAAGAAAACTTTTGGCTCCACGGCTGGAACAGACACAGGATACCCAACGGTTTGCAACCAATCAGCCTCTGGCAGAGAATCCCGTTTTGCAGCCGGTGAATTGACAGACTACAACGTCAAGGCGCCCGGGGTTCCTCACGCACTTTGAGCCGGGTGTGAATATGTGTGACTGACAATCCCGACCTGTTCTGGTTTACCGGCACTACCTGATGGGCCCCCAACCACGAACGCGGGACAGGAGCTTGGCGTATTGCGTCACTGAAGTCCAGCCTCGGGAGCCGCGGGTAGCCTGGGCCCACGCTCTCCCTGCGGCGCCGCTTCCCAGCGTTTCCCGCCCTCCAGAGGTTTCCATGACGACCGCCACGCTGTCGGCGTCTCGACGTATCGGCGCAGCATCGGCGTGGAAACTGACGCCGCATTTGCGGCGAAAACGGCGTGGGACCCGTGACAGAACTGGCGCGACTTTGGCGACGAAACTGACGCGACGTTCGCGGCGAAACCGGCGCGAGGCGCTGCAGGACGCTTTAGAACCTGGTCTATGTATGAACTGCCGGTGGTTGCCTCCCGTGTGGGTCGGCTTAACCGGCCGATGGCGGGTCGCTGTGTGACGAGCCAGCCGTTACCCCAACGCCAACCGAATGACGCAACCAAAGCAGCTGATTGAAACCAAAGGCAGTTGATTGAAACCAGAAGGCAGTTGAAGGGGTCATTTCCGAATGGGGCGCGTGGCACTCGGCGCCGCATACCTGTGGTGAAGGGTTTTCCTCCCTTCCATCCGCCAGCCAGGCGGCTGCATCAGTTCTTTTCACAACGCATAAAGTGCGCTGCCAATGGCCCTAACAAAACGGTAACAGTAGGAGAAACTCGCCGGTCCTGGCTTTCAGATGCCGGCAACGTGATTCGGCGTGACCGAATCAATCGACGTAAACGCTCAAATGTCGAGACGGAGGAAATTAACAATTTCACGTTTTTCCCAAAACGACTGGAATAAATGCGTCAGGCCTTGTGGGATGCTAGAAAACGACGCGACTGACTTCAAGGCCAGACGATGGTACTTGAACGCCCCGTTCCCTTCGGAAGTCAAGTGCAAAATGAGTTTTTTCATCCGGTTTCCGAACAAATGACAAAGTGACTTATTTTTTGCTGCAACGGCCTCCAAGAGAGGATTTGCCCTGTCTTTTGTCTTCAGTCCTCCATAGGCTCGATTTTGACCGCCTTCTGTCTTCAGCCCCCCACACGTCTGAAAACGTGGTCCGACTTGCTGAATTTCAGGACATAACAGCCATAAGTCGACTGCCTGATGCCACTTGTTCCCGTGGTCTCCTTGTGTCGCGCCTTGATACTTCGACATCTTCCCGCCATCACTCGACTCCATCCGCCCTCAGGGCTCAGATCACCCGCCGTCCTGACCTCTGCCGAGTCCAACATCGCCACCAGCCGGGCCTCCGAGTCAGGCGGACTCCGAGTCCGGGGCCCCTACGCCAGCCGTCGTCCGCCGGTGCCGGCGTGGCGCGGCGCGTGACCGGGCCATTAGTGGCGCAGCTGCGGCGTGACCGGCCGGCGGCCCGGCCAATTCACGCCCCCCCCCCCCCCCCACGCGCCACCGCCAGCGCCGTCTGAGGTGGAGCTGGTCCTGTCTCGTAGAGCGCCACCTGTCGGGGTGGAGCTACCGTCGGCACCTGTTGATCAGGGGGGGGGGGGAAGGGGGAGGGGGGACTGTCGTAGACAACGGTGTGGACGTAGTGCGGCTGTGGCCGTTGTTCGACACATTGCATTAAGCACGACTTGACTACGTCATATTTTGCTTAACGCAGTCAGGCGTGATTTTAAAACATAATACCTGGCATCAATATGTGTTGTGCTTTCCCCGCCTTGCACTGGGAGCGTGCCACTGCTGTCAATACAGGTGTCTCCAAGTGGGGAGGAAGCAGGCGACCGGCGGCAGGAGATGGGTGTTGCGGGTCCCATCCTTCAGAGACCTAGCGGACGGGCAGGTCAGGACGAAGAGGCGGCGTCGGCCGCCATCTCACTGCGGCTCACGAGTCCGCCATCGACCCCTGGCGCGCCGTGTACACCTGCCGTACACGGGCATGAGATCTGGCCTCCGCAGGACCGTCACGCTGTGTGAAGCCTGCGATGCAGTGATCAGTCTCAGCGGTCAGTCTCAGCGGTCAGTGTCAGCGGTCAGTCTCAGCGATCAGTCTCAGTGGTCAGTCTCAGCGGACGGTCTCAGCGGTTAGGCTCAGTGGTCAGTCTCAGCGGTCAGTCTTAGTGGTCAGTCTCAGCGGACGGTCTCAGTAGCCAGTTTCAGCGGTCAGTCTCAGTGGTCAGTCTCAGTGGTCAGTCTCAGCGGACGGTCTCAGCGGTCAGTCTCAGCCGTCAGTCTCAGCGCTCAGTCTCAGCTGTCAGCCCCAGCAGTCATTCTCAGTGGTTAGTCTCAGCGGACGGTCTAAACAGTCAGGCTCAGCGGTCAGTCTCAGCGGTCAGTCTCAGCGGACGGTCTCAGCGGTCAATCTCAGCGGTCAATCTCAACAGTGCCGTTTGGCGGATCAGCGCCGGTGCGGCTGGCCCAGCTAAGACAGAGACCAGTGGTCCCGGTGCCGCCCGCTGTCCTGGCCGGGG